TTGAAAAACCATCTACATGTATGGCATCTTAAAGCCAGCAATTGATATTTCATAAATTCAGGAACCATTTGTGCAGACTTCATCTTCTTTGTTTGGCAGAGGAGATGGAGTATATTCGAGGAAATTAATTTAATGTCAAATTACCCTGAATACAAAAAACAACAAGAAAAATGAGCAGCAATGCTAGTCAGTTAGTAAGTTATAGTAAATGGAGAAGAATCCAAACTATATTAAAGAAGACTTTCTATCCCAGGCAAAACAAATGGATCTCTTAGTCAACAATAAATACAAAATCTAAGCCAAGAGAAGGCTTGTATCTTCAAGATAATCTTATATTATGTCCTCTTGAATCTTATTACATATGTGTGTGTATGTGATATGTATATGTATGCATGCATGCATGCAGTGAGGAACCTAGAGAGGCCCATCCATAAACCCGGCACCCTTCCTTTCAAGATGCCCCATGTAGGAAGAATCAGAACTTCTTACTTTTCTTCTATAAAGTCCATTAAGTGACACAAAATCCACCACTATGTATGACCTCATCCTGATCCTGATCGAGCACAGTTCATGTTCCACTATCCTGACATCAAATCATCTCTCCCTTCTTCTTTCTGCCTGGAGGAAGGGCTACAGAAGAATGGGATTTGGACTGAGGACAAAGGTCTTCTCCCCTCACAAAGTTATCCCATAATAATGTGTGGTAGAGCCAAACCAGCCCTTTTACTGCATTCAATGACTCTCCCTTGATATTTGGAGAATCTGATAGTTCTTACGTAGCCAAACAATTACATATTTCAACAAAGCTGAAACAGATATTTTTGGAAAACTGAGGAAATTCCCCCAAAGGATCCATTTAAGATGGAAATGCATTGAATGTCCCCCAAAATTGGATAAAAGAATGGCATTTTATGAACACTCCACTCTGCAACTTTTTCTTGCTGGGTTCACACATACAATTTAACATGGCAAAGTATCTTGGTCCCTTCCCTTCCCCTCCTGAAAAAGGCTCTGATCTTTATCCTGCCAGGATACTTTAAAATGCAACTATGCTATGAAAAAGAGGCATGTTTCCATTACTGATATAGCTATTTTGAGATGGAAAAGCAAACAGTAATACCAATACACAACTTTTATTGAATCCTAAACATGTTCCAATGAGACATTTTGTAAATACTGTATCTTCTCTTTGTACATGGGATGTACTTAAAAACCCATATATGAGTGTTAGAGAGGACATTAAAAACAGAATGGCACTGTAGTTAGTTATTCTATTGCAGGCTCCTTCAACTTTAGAAGCTTGCTAGGGTGGAACACAAATTGCTTTGAAACCATTGTTATACATTTCTAGGTACCAGGAATACCAAAATTCATAATCTGGTATGCCACATACAAGAAGATTGTCCAGTTCTTGTGAAGCTGCCTCCCAAAATATTATTAGTTACCCAAAAAGGACCAAAGTTGAATTTAGAGAAAGGTATTTTTATGCTGACTGCCCACTCCAGCAAAAGTGGTTGTAATTTACCCCACAGTTTTGCTCTTCACTTATTTGAGTTTTCATCATACACATAACAGGCCTTCACTAATTTATTACTTATGTATATATTTGGTGACTTCAGGGCTCTTCAATTTTTGCATTATTCTTCCAGTTGCCTTTCTTTTTACATTAATTACTTCAAAGCAGCAATTCCATGCTATGGACTTTGGGTCAGAGACCTCAAGGCAGTAAATGGAGGCTCAAATGGTCAAAACATGCTACAACTGTACTGTATTGTATGCAAGAGTTACTACAACGAATAAGTCTTGCACAGAAGTACAAAAGTGTTCGGATATTCCTACCATTCCACAGCAACTAACAGGAAACCATGGCAAACAGTACCAAATACCTGTAAGTGCAATCAAATAATCTATTAATTAAACTCTGTCCTGAGAATTAAGTGCAATATGGCTAGTTCCAAACAGCCCATGGCTTCTTGGAATGTCCTTGGTACAATAACCAGCAATGCATTTCTTTACTAATATAAAAAGGGAAATTAAAATCATTTTCCTTTATTCACCAGAGGAAAATGAGGGGAAAAATTAAAAATTGATACCTGTTAACAGCAGTAAGGTCTTCTATCAACAGCATAACCACTTTGGTACTTTTGCATTGAAAAGGCAGGTGTGTTATTGTGAATTCCTCTTGAATTTCTCCACAGAAGGAGATTTGGCTCAAGATTCCACATGGCAAAAGGGCACCACCCAGAAAGTATAAGGCAAAAAGATTAATAGAAAACGAGTCATTTTATAGCTTATTTCATAATTCCGATTTTCTCCTCCAATGCAATTACTGCAGTTCTTTTTCTTGTCCTCGGGTTCCTTTAGGAACATACTTATCGGTCATCAAAAATTTGGTGCAAGCCAGTTAAGAAACTTCATGGCAACTTCAAAGCCAAGGAAGCATGCCTGGAAGAAATATACATGTAGGTATATATGTAAATTAAGTTGTATACGTTCACACTTTTTGCAGAACATTTTATATATTTGTCCTACAGAAGAGTTTCCATTAATAATGTACTGTTTCATAGAGTGAATTATGTTGCATAATGAATAGATACAACACCAACAAAACAGGGCTGTTTTAACCTTGTGATTAACCTTCAAAAATATCTTCAATAAATATATGGGCATATATAATAGGTAGGCAACATTGCTCAAAGGAGACTTTTGCTGGAGACAAAGGAAGGAAAAAATTATCACCAGTTTTGGCATTCTACTTCTGTTCCTTCAAAAGCTGCTTTGGAAGACTAGGGAATCATCCAGAATAGTATGAATGGTGATGCTGAATTCTATGTAGAGAAATTAATGACAGTCAGCTTCTCCGGTTGTCTGTTAGGAGTTTCCACTGGATCTCAAGTCTTTTCTTGCAACGGAAGGGAGCTTTTCCATTAATGAAAGAGACACTCTGATGAGGGGAGCTGCAGCTCATGAAGGTTTATGCCTTTTAATAAAATTTATTACTCAGAAAATGTGCTACCAGATTCCTGATTTTTTGCTACCATAACACAACTCTCTTCCTTTAATGACTGGAGCCAAACTAATCCATAAAAGTGTACTTTTATACCATTTACAGTTTTTCCCTTCATATAAGGAAGTGTATACTAAAGATAGATATATTTAACAGATCCCAACTTAGGGATAGTTGAGTTTAGGGAAAATTTACCAAAAAGCTGCCACAAACTCTTCCAATTTGAAACTTTCTGGATATCTCTTACAATTACATGTGGTAAGCCAACATCTCTTTTGAAGTGCCTTTATAAACAATTTCACAGTTATAGCTTAAAGGCTGAATTTTCCCACATTTCTATTACTGACTTGAATGGAATCCAAATTTACAATGGAAAAGGGAGCCCCAGAAACAAGATGTTGGCATAGAGTAGGAAGTGTAAGTATTTAAATCTTACTGTAAACATTATCTTCAAACCAAAGATAACCAAATGATAGAGATAGTGATTGAAAAGACAGAATCATCCAACCTTTTTTCTCCTTCCTATGCTTGAGCTTCAAAAAATATCACAAACCATGGTACAGGCATCTTCTCAAACAACACTTTCCTTGGGATGGCTTAGTTAAGCTTGCTCTTCCATGAAAGTCTGACCAACAGCCACATTTCAGACTTAGGAGACTGCCTAGTGACCTTACATTTTTAGACACTGTAATTTGTTTATCTACATAATTATCAGCATACATTTAAAAACATTAAAGGTAGATATTGCCAAAATTGTATGCCAGTTCATGTAAGTTTCCTATCACTTAATCAATGCACAGCTTATACTGACCTGGGTTTATACAACGATCTACAAAGTAATATGGTTTGTGTTTTATAATAAATTATGGCTTGGTGTGATGTTTGGGCCTATTTATTCATTTAACAATATTTGTAGCCCACTCCAATGGTAATAAACTCAGGTGGTGAACAACAAAGCACTAAGAGACCAAAACTTGCAGAAACAAAATACAAGAGCAACAAAAACAGCTAACCTGATCAAAGGTTCCTATGATATACACCCACAATCAACCAGGACTGAAGACAAATTGGAATGTACAGATTTTATTTGACAGCAAAATACAAGAAGGGCTGGGGCCGCATATACTTTTGGAGAAGACTATTCCAGAGA